ATTTTTTACATTTATGTAATTACATATAAAAATGGCATCCATTCTGGAATTTGACTTTTTAATGCCCTCTGAGCAATGTACCCAGCAACATAAGCTGCTGAATTTTGCGAAAATACTTCATGTGATGTGCTTGCAACAAAAGCTGTATCATCAGTATTACTCATTTTGTAATCATCAGTGTGGTATAGAGGGTCATCAGTTTCCATATCATTTACATTATAGCCATTCAAAGGTTCAGTATTCTTGATAACTGTAAGCAGCTTTATAGATATCAAAACTGTGTCATTATCAGGTTCACAGTTTGACGGTTCACTTGTGCTAATAATATTTTATGCCACTAGTATTCTCATTCTCTGCTGAAAATCATATGCAGTTGGGTGGCCAATGTTCCCACCTCTGCACCAACAACAGAGAAAAAGTTTTCTAAAGCATCTTGGGTGAAACGAAACATTAAAATGAATGGAACATCCTTCAACAGAACTGGAATTAGTTACTGAACTACAGATAGTGTCAATCTCCATCCAAACAAAAAGATAATTTTCTCTCTGTTTGGAATTCGATTGATTTTATCACCTCCATCATCTCCTTCCAGGTCTTCATGTGGACAGATGTTTTCGTAACCCCTGAAAAAAAAAAGGATTAGTGTGCTTTGCTATGCGACTGTTCAGACTATCAAATAGATCATTTATGTTTGAACAGAAGTCAGCTGTATGACCAGCTGATGCAAGTAAACCACCTAGTGCACTAAGATAACACATGCCAGAAGCCACAGAATGACTAAAGACCTGAGCTGCTAATTTCACATTCATAGCACAAAGGCAGTCCACATTTTCATGACGGTCGCTTAATTTCGGAACACACCTATGAGGTAATATATGATCAAATTTCCCATGGATCTGATATGCTTCCAACTAGCAATTTTATCATTTTGAAATTTGATATCATACTTACTAAAATTATTTCGCAAGCGTTTTAAAAGATGAAGCACATCAAAAAGTGTGAACACCCTTTTATCTTGACACTCAATATATGGACTCTCCTCTGTGACTTTCATTCCTTTTATTTAACACATAACATTATTCGCTTCTCCATCACATGCAATTGCCAAAGGAGTCAAACTACAATCAAATAATTTTGAAAGGGCTTCCATGACTAAAGTATACAATGTAAAACCCGGAGTAGTGTGAGAAGAAAAAAAATAACCTGTTTACAGTTCTTACAAAGCCCAGGCGACATTAAAACAAGAGCATGAATTGCATACTGGGGAATTACATTCCGTTTACTGTAGGAACCAGTCTTCATATCCAACGATGCAATCATTTTGCTTATCATATGATAAGCTTCGCTTTAAAATGATTTCATCGAAGGATATGATACAACACCTGGCATAGCTTTCCAGTTTACTGGAAACTAACTTTACGGCACTAAGCACAGGAAATGAAAACCCAGGTTCCAGTTTTATATTAGAAATAGCTTTTAATAATGTGGGCTTACTAAGTAAATGCAAAAAAAGCCTTAAGAGTATAATATGCTTTTGGACTACTTAAGTAGATTTGAAGGCAGAGAATTTTTTCCTCCAAAGACCACCTCCTTCCATATTTCAAAACACTTGATGCTTTAATTTGTAATCGTATGAAAGTAAAAATCACAGGGTTAACTAGTGGTTAAATCAGCTGGCGTGTCTTCTCAACTCCAGCTTTATTAAGTTTTCGTTGACTCAGATTAAATAATATTATTATTTAATAATATATTTATATATTATTAAATTATTATATTCTTTAAATAATATTTTTTTCTTTAAGTAAGAAAGTCTGTGGCTCAACTGTCTGATTTTTGCAAATTTGGGGGTTAAATTTTTATTTCGAATGACACTCCTTTTTGGAGTATCAATCGAGCCATCCATTTTTTTTAATAGATGAACTTGGATGTTCATTACATGGTGCTTGCAGCAGTTTGCTGAAGTTTGGCTATTCAACTTGGTAGACAGCTCTTTCACATTCAATTGCCTGTTGATTATGCATAACTCATCAGCTGGAAAGGATAAAAATTATATATTAAAATAATTCGCAAAATAAGCATAAAAGAGTATCATCATGAATTGTTTTATTTTATAATTTTGCTACTTTTTTAGGTAATCTTAAAAAGGTGTTTTAATACGGGAATAGGATCCAGTATCTTTGATTTCTTTTACAAGTTAAAGAATTTTTAGTGTAAAAGCATTTCACGGCAATTAAATTACAATCATTTACAAATCATTATAAATTAAGAAATATATTTTAACCTGAGGCGATGCTGATTAAAAGACATTTTATTACATTATAAAAGTGAGTAGTATTTACAATTTTTCATAACTTTCACGTTTGAAATTTTCTTCATAGATCATTAGTGAATCCATCGCTGAAAACATCGGACGTACAACTTTCAAGATCAGAATAACAATTCAATATGGCGCCAAAGAACGTCTATTCTTTGATAATACATATTCTTTGATGGTGCTTCACGAAACAGTCCGATGTGTGGTTCCGTAGATCATCACAGCGCATGCCCAAATGAATGAACCAGACTTGGCTCTGCCCCTGTAAAGGTTGCCTTTTTGATATACACAGACCAAGCTAGACTGGGTTTCCATTTAGCGTTGCTGTGCTGTTGAAGCTATAGAGCTGTAATGTAAAAGTGCCGTTCCCACTGGGTTTATTTGAGCTAACGTTGTCGGTTTCATGTGTCGAGTAGCTCCGCTGTGCCTGCAGTTCAGATTTTTCAACTTGCTGCCCTATGGGGGAAAATTGGTTTGGGAGATGGGTCGACTACGTTAGTTGTGTTCGTTAGCTCAGATAAACTCTAGTGGGAACGGCCCTTTATGGTCGAAGCTTCATTTCTTCTCCCTTACAAATTCTTTGGTAGAAACGACAGAGTATAAACAGAGCATTATACCCCTTGGTAGAAACTTTCAGAATGTGTGATTTTATCTCACTTCTTTATTTACATTCCAGCTCACTGTAGCCTTATCTATTTCTGATTTGTTGGATCTTTCTAAATCCGGTCTTTTGTTAGTTCCTTTTCTTCTTCGTTCACCCGAAGTCCTTCTTGGGAACTGAGATCAAGACCCATTCATGTGAAGTGCATCTAAGCCAAAGAATGTCTATGTCAATACATATTCTTTGTCTAAGCTTTACACTTTAAAGCCACACGACTACGCTCGAAACGTAGCTGACGAACGCGCTTTTACGTTATCCGCGAAAAAGCGTCCAAACCAACGACTTCATATAACAGGTAGACGGCTCACCCACAGAGAATTCGTCTGCTAGGGTGTCTCCAACATATACCACGTGACTAATGCTCTAGATGCTCTTGGGGAGTGATAGCTTAGGCTGTTCATCGCCAGTTTGGCCCGCTTTTGATATGACAGGTAGTGCTTTTTATTTCCGTCTGCTAGCAGTCAGCAGACAACGGCCTCGAATTAGGTTGTTCGATTTTTTACAATTATATTTAGATATAACTTAACCCCTTTTTTCCTGAATATTTTATCTATATTTTTAATAATCGATTTAAATTATTTGCATTGTTTAAGATGTTTAGGTTAAATAATTTTAGGAAGAAAATCTAAAATAAATAATAAAAAATTGAGATGGAAACTTTAATTTTGAATAACGTTAAAAAATTAATTGCAATACTGTTATAATATTTGAGAAGGTAAAAAAAATCTAGTTTATTTTAATGCATTGCATCCTAAAGAGAAAAAAAAATCACATTGTATTATATGTATTTATGCCATTGATTTGCCTCTCTTTTCTTGAGATTATATTACTGGAACAAAAATAATACACTCTCTTTTCTTGAGATTATATTACTGGAACAAAATAATGCAATCTTAATTACTGATTTCCACACTCATGTGTATGTCATGGCGGGGATCAATACTTATTAACTATAACAAATATTTTATATTGAATATGTATCAAACGGTAACAAACTTCAACTCAGTATTTATTATTAGGATCAAAACGATATTACAGTTAAAAATTCTCTCACTCTCCTTTTTTTTTTAAATACTATTTAAAATATGGTAAGTTTTTCACATCACATTTTTTCAATTACAATAAATTTCTAACCGCATCGTAGATTAATGCATGGAGAATTATAATCCAGGTTATTTTTATTTTAATTGATTTTATAGAAAATATGATAAAGCATTGAGCTTTATAAAAGTAATCTGTTTTTTTAAATAATGCTGTTTAAACTGTTTATGTTCAATGTTGCATGAATCAAGATCTTACTTTTTTAAAAAGTAAACATAGCACACTTTTCTCAATTTAATCTATAATAGCATTTTCTTTTTTTTCGAGGCGTATGTTTATGAATCAAACGCTACATGGCGAAAAAAGTAACGCAATGCGCAGCTTCTATTCCGAATACGGAAGACAGATACGCACTTGGCGCAATTTTTTCCGCCATCTTGAATCGGCGAAAATCGCCAAATCCTCGGAAGGATTTTTTTGACGCCAAGAGGGAAATGACGTCAAAAGACGCTTTCCAAAATTTCCCTCCTGAGCCGGACATAGGGGAGAAACCGGTGCTAGGCGAAAATCGCCTGAGGCTAAATACAATAACGCGTTTGCGTTAAAAAGGTAAACAATGTACATAAAATTAATTTAGTTGTTGATATGTTAAAGTTAATCTACATACATTTTTTCACCTTAGTATTTTAGATGAAGATATATATAACTCCAACATTATTACCTTACCAACTTAATACTTTTCTTTTTTTAATTCTGACCATTAATTTCTACACTTATCTATAATAATAGTTAAATATGTTTGAAAACATGTTCTTCATATAAATGCAGTAAAGATTATGCAAATGGAATATTTATCACACGTAAGTAACGTTAAAAATTTTAAAAGATAAAATATACATGAGTATATTATTTGGAGAGATACTCAGATAACTCGGATGATGACATTTTATTTTGATGAACTAAACCGTTCATTATAGATTTACTTTTACTCTCTATATTAAAATAAACTTATGTTAGCATTTTATATAGAATAAATATCTTATATAAAATTATCCATTCATATTATATTACCAACAAATTTATAATAAAATATATGAATGAATGAATGCAAAAATAGGTACAAGAATTTTAACTTACCCCATTGCAGTTGTGCATAACGTGTTGTATATCCTTTTATTATATTCTTGTTGATATTTGCAGTTCTTCTAAAAAACAGTTTCTTGAAATATTAACATCTGAGGTTCGTGTTTTGAAATAATTAATCCAAATCACTTTGTTGTACACTTATGAAATGTTCACACTGCATGCAACACAAATCTAGTAGCTTGCACTATCCTCCTCATATCAGGTCACACACTCAGAGTCATACTTAACATTCTTAAAAACTGACTGGCTTCAGCATCTGTTTAAAATATTCCATAATTAAAAAGGTGGGGATAAATAGATTCCATTTCCACATCACCTTAGAAGTAGGTTTGCACTTGCTTTAAAAAAACAGAAACTGTAAAATACTCTTAAAGAAGCATGCTAAATATTTCAATTGTTACTTTTAAGTATTAATTTCAGTTTTAAGGAAATGAAAGTTGAATTATAATCATGAAGAAATTGGTTATTGCGAAGCATGACATGCATAACAAATTAAGCAATATGATACGTTAAATATTTAAAAATTTTGAAAGTAATTATGTCTGTACATCAAGTGCAAACCTACATCAGGAGGTAGGAATCGTGATGCGTTTTTTTTTTTTTTTTTTTTTTTTTACGGAGGTGTCGCCAAGAGCCATAATCCTCCGAACCTGAAAAATTCAAAAACCAAGGGAGGCAAAAAATGTTTTTTTAAGTATAACAGTCAAGATATTATAAAAATGAAATCACTGTTACAAGAAAAATAAGATACATAATAAAGAAATAATATACAAATAGGGTGTTTACATATTTTTAGAATAATTTTGATCAGAATTTTAAAAAAAATCACACGTGGACTGTTGTGCCTTTAATCTCATAAAGAGCTAAGCTTCCTAAGTGCAAAGCCATCACAACAGATGGAATCTGGAAAGTTATGGACGAGGAATAAAAATCAATACCCATGGAAATATTATGAAAAGCCCTTCTTTCGGAGAAATCATGGGCATTTTCTGGGCAGGCTTGCCGGAAAAAAAGCTATCATATTGAACATATAAAAAAATACTCTTTACATTTTAAACATAATTAAATGGCCCCCAAATTGTTCTAAAAATGTGTAAATGCCTTCTTTTGTATATATTTACATTTAGTACTTACCAAAAATACTTAGGAAATAAATTACATTTTCGAACCTGTAATTCTGCTGTATTTATTTATGAAAGGGCTGCAGGATTTTTAATTTCCATACTCTGAAATGCAATTGAAAAACATGCACTTATTACTTTTTTTTGCAAAGCTCTTTCTATATATATATGTGTACAGGGCGTAACAGAATTTATATCACAAGTTTAAGGGATGACAGAACATGGCAAACTTAATAATTTTCAGTATACATTGTCAAATGTCATCACAGGAACACAATAGTATGGAGGATGAAAGATTTTCTTATTGATGGTTATTTACAAGAATTGTTAAAATTAAAAATGGTCAACTGCAATATATAAATCACAACACTGAAGAACCAAGGCATAGACTTTAAAAGATGCCCACATCAAGTACTCTTGAATTAACACCAATTGTGCTGATACATTTTTCAAGAGAATCAATATATGTCTCTTAAAAGAAATCCGTCATAGTTGTGGTGCATGTATCACCGTGCAGTTGCTACTTGTACTTTTGAACAGCTGTTGTTAATACCAAATGCTATTTTTAGTAATTATCTGCTTTAAAAAGCTGTCTGACTTCTGCATTTACATTGCATTGTTTTATGCAAACTGTCTTTTTTGCCATGGTTTATCAGCCTTTAAAGCTGTCATATTTATTGCTAAATGTAAGCAGATAATAATAAAAATGCTATATCTTATTGTTTACTTTTTATGATGCATTTTAGAAAAAGAATCAAGTTCTTAAAATAAATTAAAATGAAAAATTGCTTATTCTTACCCCACATATCATCACCATCTTCAATAAACTGCATTTCATCATCTTGACGGGCAGCTTTTTTCGGTGGCATTAAATCTTCAATATCCTCACTTTGTACTGTTGGCTCATTTATAAATTTCAACTCTAAACCATTTTTTCCATAGCCAGGATATACAGTTTTAATATCTTGTAGGAACTGGTAAATTTTTTCGCCCGGATATTGAAATTGCTTCAAACGAAAACGCTTGTAATAATGAAGGGCCATATACTGTATCAGACTTTGATCATTGCGTCTATTAACAATTGTTCTTTTAAAAATTTTGTTTTCATTTTCTAACTGATTTATCGTATTGAATTTATCCTTTTTAGCTACAAATTCACCTGTAATGGAAATATGTCAATAAGCTTTTGTGTAGATTCTTGAGGAAATTATTTAACATTAGAAAATTTCTTCATAAACATATTTTTTTAACAAGCTGACTGTAACCGATTAACCAATCATGACCTGTAAAATAATTATTCACAAATTGTTAACTTTATTAATATATTCAGATATGAAAACAAAGTGATTTAATTACCTCTTGCTGTGATTTGTTGTCTTGTGAACAGCTCCAGAGAACATGCTTTCTACATTTTTATACTGTTTAGCTGAATCGGTACAAATGACTGAAGTTTCTGGATGAACATGACGCTTTATATATGGCCATATATCTCGCTTGCTTTTCCCATTAACTCTAAAAAAAACAGCCCTTCTTTGTCTTCTCGACAATATATTCCTAAAACAGTTATTGTCATGTTTTTGGTAACCCGCCCTCTGTTATACTTACGCTTGGTAAGAAATGTCTCATCAACTAAAATGGTTTTACCTGCAAGGCAAATAAAAGGTAAATGAAACATATTATCACAATTTTGCAATAAAATGGCGTCTACCAGGCGAGCAAACTATTTTCATAATCTTCACCATGTGTAAATTGATTATAAGCCAGTTTCCCTCAAAACGTCCTTCACAATGGCATTCCTCCTTTTACACAGATAGCCCTTTTGACTTTAATATGTTAAAATGTCCTAACGTAACTTAACCTGCAGCTTTCGTCCACACGAATTCTCCTGCATAACTAGGCAAGCAACTTTCCACCAACCAATTCCCAGCTCAATTACATCTTGAACAGTCGATAACATTTCCATTTTATGATTTCTATCATCTGCAATTTGAAGCATTGCAACTGGAATATTTGCTGTTCTTCGGCAAACTGAAAATTAAATAAAAATGTTTATTATATTTTAACAATTGGCATCTTTCTGGAACTATTATTTCGGAACATCTGCAGTATTCTAAAGAAAGCATCATCACTGCAGTGTATTGTTAGCAGTGCATCTGTAAGTATTGGCTAATACATAAGTACCCTGAAATATAACTAATTATTATTTACATTATAGGAATGCAATAAAGGGCTATTTGCCTAAAAGGAGAGGGTGCCTTCATGGAGTACTTTTTAGGGGAACTTACTTGTATTCATGTTACACATGGTGAAAACTGTGAATACTCTTGGGAGCGAAGCCAGCCTGTTTGCTAGGATCTTCATTACGGTTAAACTACGAGTATTCAGTCATTTTATCACTCGACTGGTAAGGGACTTAAAATATAAGGTAATGCATATCTCATTAAAAGTTGAATTAAATACATGGCTCAGTTAATTTGTGAGACAAAATAAATACAGAAAAAAATTAAGAATCCTTTACCTGCTCCACCAAGTTGTGTACTGTGATGAGAGGCAAATACCTCACAGATTTCTCTACAATAGGACATAAAGTCGCATATTGTTTCGTCGCGTATTTCTGGCAACTTCTGCTCTTTCCTCCATGACATAAAATTCATCTTTATAAACGTGAAATTCATCTCCAGTACAAAGAGGAATATGAAGACCATGCACTCCCTGACTGGAACTTTGGTCCCCTCAAAAAATGTGCCTGCAACGGGGTTAACCATTCCTGGACACTTGCCTCTATTCCTGTTGCTGCAAATCCATCTCCAGCCAAGTTTTGCTTCTTTCCTGGAATTGGCATTCATCTTATGACCACATTTTGGGCAAGGTGGGGCCTCCTCTTTTTTCGGAAGCAAGCCAGCTTCTGTTGCTAAAATAACTGCCTTTTCTTCATCATTAATCAATGACATTCCTGTCATCATGTTGAAGTATTTCAATTTCTGCATTAATGATGAAGTAGCCATAGCAAAGAAAAAATAGAACCTAACAAAATGAAATTAAATAAATCAAATCAAATATTAAATTAAATGTATTATTTTTAAATTAAAAGAGATGTTAAATTTAAGCTAACAATATATCAAACTAAAACACTGATAACATACAGAAAATAAAGGCTTAGTAGTACAGGGAAAAAAATGCAGAAATAAATATTAATAACTTCTGAAATATGAAGAAATTACAAATATTCCTAAGTTACAGAAATAAAAATTTTAATATAAATAAATAATTATAAATTAAAAATTAGTAATTCAAATATGCAAATATCAATAGATGCAAAGAGATAAAAATTTAATTGAAAAAATACTTGCTTTGGCAGGTGATTCCTTTTGAAGCGATACACACAGGGCACTCAACCAAAATGATGTAGGTTCAGAGTTGAGAGGTCAAAGTTCGCGGAGTTTTGCGCCTACGTCATTTCGCAAAAAATCGATTCCATGTAAATAATCAAAATTTCGTAGAAAAAATTTGTTTGATCAAAATTACTTGCATAAACAGTAAAAATGTATATAAACGTATTTTATATTTTTATTTGTTAACATAATTTTGCATTAATAAGTAGCAGATATTTTTCAATAATAAAAGTTTTTGCAAAAATTAAATTTGATAGACGACTGTGGGGAAAAAAAAGTGTTCCTTTTTTAATATGTGTGTCTTTAATGTTGTTTATAAATGAACTGAATGAAAAGGTTATCTGAATTTTGTAAGTAAATCGGCAATAAATTGGATACCACTGTGGCGACATCATTCGTGTTAATGAAGCCTTAATGCAAATACTGTACCAACCCGATGACTGATTTTTTGTCTGTGTGATTCTATATCTAAAAAATGTAAACAAATATTAATCTTATTGGAGTAAGAGCAATGTTTAACATTTCCTATGTTCAAGACATGCACAACCACAAAGCGAATCCAGTGCAGCTTAACCGTAACCGTTCATTGAAATAATCTTGACTTAACCAAAAGACTTTGTCTGTCTGTCTGTCGTCTGTCGTGACATCTGTCTCTCTCTCCCCCTCCTTTTTTTTAATTTTCGCGTTTTTTTTTTTTTTACAGGTTTTTCAAAAACCAGCATCTTTTGAATTTATTAGCACGGAAGCAGAATTTTTTCCCCTTCGTCTTGAAACAAGAAAATAGTTTTAATGTAGGTAAACAAAGAAATGTAATCCTGAATTGCATACTGCAGGGAAACAAGATTTCTAACAATATATTTCGGTTATGTATTTGTTGCAAATACGGTGATGCAAAAACTTTCAATATGTATATTCATTACCATTAAAAACTAACATGAGTAACAACACAGCAGAAAAAAACTATGATGAAGATAAATCGTATTCAAAGGTTTGAAGATATAAATTTAATTAACTTTTATTTGTTTATCTAAGAAAGAATTTTGCTCATGTTTTGTTTAATAGTTTAAATTTTTTACTCATACACCGAATTTTAATCCGCAAAATCCTCTATGTAAAGAAATCAGTGAAATATCCTTGACATAGAAAAGTAGCAGAATATTGTTTCTTTAATATTTTACATTAACTTATTAGCATTTCAAAGTCTTATAAGTTTTTTATTTTGATATAAACTTGATGAGAAGGGATTAAAAAATTGCTTGTATGATACAGAGTGTCTGTCAGCGAGATAGCGGTAAAACTGTTGCACCCTAGTAGTTCGTCTTGGAGTTAAGTTCCGACTAACGGATTTCCGCCATCTTGTGCAAATAACCCGCGAGTGCTTTTCTTATTCTAAATAATTCGTGTTAGGAGTACAATTAATTTATTTAGAAATTAATTCCAGTTTGTTATAGCTAGATAAATAACATATACTTAAATATTAAGTAAATAATTTTAAAAAATGTGTCAATGCGAACGATAAGTTAGGAAAAGACCATATGTTATCTACTTTGTTTTATTAGGATAATTAATTTATAAGGTCATTAAGTTGTTTAGAAAATAATTTATAAGGTAATTAAACGACAACTGGGAGCCCGTCTCCTGAACTTCTTAGTTTCTGGGATAAACCACAATTCATATTTAATTTAATAATAATTATTAATGAAATATAATAAATTAATCATGATTAATTACTTATATTTCATTAATAATTATTATTCCGCAAAATCCTCTATGTAAAGAAGTCAGTGAAATATACTTGACATAGAAAAGTAGCAGAATATTGTTTCTTTAATATTTTACATTAACTTATTAGCATTTCAAAGTCTTATAAGTTTTTTATTTTGATATAAACTTGATGAGAAGGGATTAAAAAATTGCTTGTATGATACAGAGTGTCTGTCAGCGAGATAGCGGTAAAACTGTTGCACCCTAGTAGTTCGTCTTGGAGTTAAGTTCCGACTAACGGATTTCCGCCATCTTGTGCAAATAACCCGCGAGTGCTTTTCTTATTCTAAATAATTCGTGTTAGGAGTACAATTAATTTATTTAGAAATTAATTCCAGTTTGTTATAGCTAGATAAATAACATATACTTAAATATTAAGTAAATAATTTTAAAAAATGTGTCAATGCGAACGATAAGTTAGGAAAAGACCATATGTTATCTACTTTGTTTTATTAGGATAATTAATTTATAAGGTCATTAAGTTGTTTAGAAAATAATTTATAAGGTAATTAAACGACAACTGGGAGCCCGTCTCCTGAACTTCTTAAGTTTCTGGGATAAACCACAATTCATATTTAATTTAATAATAATTATTAATGAAATATAATTAATTAATCATATTTAATTTCTTATTTATTAATGAAATATAAATAATTAATCATATAATTTCTTAATTATTAATGAAATCTAATTAATTAATCATATTTAATTTATTAATTATTAATGAAATATAATTAAATAATCATTTTAATTTGATAATTATTAACATTTTTAATTTGATTGATTATTTAATTTTTAAGTCATTAATAATTTTAATAGTAATCTAAAAAATACAACAAACAGCTTATGAGCGTATTCACCACGTCTACTGACAAAGTCACGTGATCAACACGAAGATTCATCTGCAGAGTCGCATGACAGCCAAAGTAAGGCGTAAGAAAATATCCCTTCCCTTTTCCCTTTCTCCCTAGCTTAGTGAAGGTTTAAACTTGCAAACTGAACTGTCCTCCCACTGTTTGGGCCTATCGCTCAAGTAGGTGAACGCGATTTCTGGAAGTTCGCCAAGTGCCGGTTATCTGAGTATACCCATACATTTTGATGCTAATAATACATGCTGAAAATGTCATATACGGCGGCAATTTTCTTATACAATATGGCTGAAACTTTCCAACCAATTCAACAGAGATAGTAAAATGACAAAAGTACTGAAAATAAAATAATAAATCATGCAGTTTTAACTTACCTATGAAAGGTTACAAGTCCTCCTTTCACGAAACTTTCTTTACATCCGTAGGCGCTGCAGCGAATAACCATTTTTACTTAAATTTTATGTGACCAAGCAGAGCAGCAGTCTTTCGTCCCATAGAAAGCAATGTAAAGTATTTCCGGACTTTCGGAATTCGCGCAGCAGTCACGTGACACTAATGTTGGAACCGGTTGAAGGTTGCAATACGCTCTCTACCAGTATACTATCTCGTTGGTCCAAACGAGTACGCTTGCAAAGAGTGCGCTTAACCAATCGAATTATTTTGCGCAAAAATCACGTGGCGCTTTAATATAGCGTCAACGGAGCTGTATCTTGTTACTTCGCTCTGCTTCTATAGTATATGTTTGCGACAAGTTGAGATCAGATGATTTTTTGATAGTTGAAATTTTACTTTATTAAGCAGAGGCAAAACCGCAAAAAAATGACGAGAATGGTTCTGAAAGATTTATATAGAGAGACCTGTTCAAAGAGGGTTTTTTTTTCCTTTACTGCCTCGTTTGCGAAATGAATATCCGGAATTATTAAATTCCTACTATTAGCTCACACTTTCCGTATATCTTGTTCAAAATTTTCAGTCGTTAATAAAATACTTTTTTTTTCATCCACTCAAGTTCAAATACAATTTTTTAAACTTGTAGTGGATGACACTTGACAAGACAGCTTTGACTTGTTAAGACAGCTTTTTTCACATATTAAAATTTTTAATTAAAAAAATTCTGTTTGTATTTTAAATTGTTTTTGTATTTTTTTTAAATTTTTCTTTGTGGACCTAAGTAGGAATTAATTTTTTTGTATATTAATTGTTTTTAATATACAGATATTTTAATTTTAATACAGGGTGCGGCAAGTAAAATCGGCCCGTCGTAATATCATAACATATTGCGTTTTTGGCGACAATTAAATTATTTTCAGCTACCTACCAATTATTCTTTATGGCGCGCTGAGCCGGGTCGGGACATGTGCCTCGCAGAACGGAGACGCTACTCAGAGTTAGCTTTCTGCACAAATGCAGTGGAATAAGACTTGCTTAAAGGCAGCTTCTGGAATTCTCAGATGCTTTCTTCAGTAAAAGCAGATCGCTGTGTACGTGAAAAGAACAGTGCAAAAAACCAAGAAGAATGTATCTCTTATATTGAAAAAATAAAAAAAATAGGTAGCATGGGATACATTTTCGAACTAGATATAAGGACATCTAAACATCTCTTTCCATAGCTAGCATCAGTTAGTGACGTTTTGATGGGAGGAGGAGGGCATGTGGATAATCAGAAAATACCAAAAACGTTTTTCAAAATTATATGTCTTAATTAAATTAAGAGTAAATATTTAAAAATACGAGTAATACATCTTAGTGAAGGGGAAGAAAAAAAGAGAGAAGCTAGCTCTTGGGAGACTTTGCTTATCATGTAAAGCAGGCGTTTTCAAGTTTTTTCTTACATAACCACTCTTAAAAGAATGGTTTTCTTCATTGGACCCCTTGTATTTTTCTCTGTAATATGCAGCATAATCAAAATACAAATAATTTTGCGTAAATCACTCAACAATTAAACTAAAATTTTGAACAGAATTTTTTTAAATGGTTTATTGGATTTGTTTTATTTAATTTATT